TTGCCGTAGGGCATGTGCACTTGCCAGAGGCAGATGAGAGACAGAAAGAGAGAGAAAGTGAGAAATCATTCCCCCTCCCCTGAGGGATGGCCATGTCACAATTGCTTCTCCTTCATTCTCCTTTTGGGGTTTTGGGCACACACTCACATGTGCCCAGTACAATTTTCAAGCCGTCAAGTCCAGACACAAACCACAGTTGGCCATGTGAGAGTCCAGTTCCTTAACCACCACACCATCTGCTGGCCCCTTTAAAAACTCTTTATTTCACTCTTTTTTTTCCCTTTCCAGAAATCATGTGTGCATAGGGGAGAGTGTTTGTTTTTGTTTTGTTTTGTTTGTTTTGCCATAGGGTGAGTGCTCTCACCAGGGAGAGAGAGAGAGAGAGAAATTAGAAACCATCCCTGGGAGGAGGGTATGGCCACATTGCAATCCCTTCTCCATTCTCCTCTTGAGATTTTGGGCACACTCACCTGCTGTGATTTTAGAAGGCTGACCTGGGACTAACTGCGCTCCAGTGTGTGGGAATCCAGTAGCTTACCCACCACACCACCTGCTGCAATGATGTGTGTGTTTTACCCGTAGAGCACATCTCAGTCTGAACTGGTCACATTTCAGTTGCTCAAAAAGCACAGGTGGCTGGCATCCTGGACAGCGCAGGTGGAGTCTGGAGGACAGGGGTGTCAGGCAAAGGGAAGGAACCGGCCTGCGAAGGCGAGGAGGTGGGGGGAGAAGGGTGCAGAGCCAGCCGGGCTTGATGAGTCTGTGGGGTTTGTCCCTAGTGCCAGGGTCAGCACTGCCCCGGTAGTGGCTGGACCCACCTTCCTCTTCAGGGGGCGGACGGCCAGCAGCGCGGTGTAGCGCAGCGTCTCTCGCACCGTGAGGCTGCTCAGCAGAGTGTCGCTCTACGGAAACGGGGCGTCAGCATCCCCGAGCCTCGAGCCCTTGTCCGGGCGCCGGGTTGGGGCCGGGGACACGCCCACCTGCAGGACGTAGGAGAAGCAGTCCTGGAACTGCTCGCGGCGCAGCGCCCGGCCGTTCACGCACACCTCCCCGAGGAGGGTCCCTTCGCGGCGCAGCCGCCCGGACATGGCGTCCAACAGCGTGGTCTTCCCCGAGCCTGCGGGCGACAAGAGACGGTCCTGAAGGAGCCGGGTCCCGACGGCATTGGAGGAGCCTGGAGGGACTCTGGCGGAGGCGTGCCCCACGTGCCAGAGCCACCTTGGTCTCCCTTTAGCCTGTGGGCCACACTCTCCTGGGTAATTGAGTCTCTTGGGTCTGGCCCCTGAATGAGAGGGGAACAAGCCACTCTTCTCATCGGGATCAGGACTCAAAGTGCTTTGTTCATTTGCTTTTAACACTGTTCTGGGTTGAAAGGAAAATACAGACTCAGAAGAAAAGGAAAGCCAGGTTCTCTGAAACGTTTGGATCCTAGGACAGCTAAATTTCTTCCTGTGGTTCCAGAGATTGTCTGCTTGCACCTGACATTAGCTGTAGGTGACATTGCCCAGAGGCTGGCTAACAAAGGGTGGTCCAAGCAGATGGCATAATGGTTACATCACTGGACTACCATGTCGACAACAGTTCAAGTCCCTGACCCAGTGGCTCAAAACTCACACCAAGCCTGGGTGCATGCCCAAGATCCCCAGAGGAGAATGGAGGAGAAGGGATTGCAGCATGGCCTTCCTCCCTGGGGGGTGATTTCTCACTTTCTGTCTCCTTGTCTGTCTTTCCAGTAAGTGCATATGCACCCTATAGCAAAAAAAATCTCTCTTAAAAAAAAAAAGGGAGCGGGAGGGTTGATCTGAGGGCCATCTGCCTCAGCCATCTGCATCAGTGTCCCCTGAAGACTTGTTAAAAATGCAAAAGCATGTACAACTGTAATGTGTACTTTAAAAATTACAATGACAATTTATTTTTAGAGGTTTTTTCTTTAGGGCGTGTGCGCTCTCCAGACAGAGACAGAGAGACAGAAAGCGAGAAATCACCCCCCAGGGGGGATGGCCACGCCGCAATCCCTTCTCCTCCATTCTCCTCTCGGGATCTTGGGCACGCACACACATGCGCCTGGTGTGAGTTTAAGCCACCAGGTCTGGGACTCAAACCACGGTCGACTACGTGAGAGTCCAGTGACATAGCCATTTCGCTAACTGCTGGTCCCCAGAGTCCGCTTTTTAAAAGAAAAAAAAATTGCCAGAGGGTTTCTGTGAGCCACAGAGAAAGGGAGAAAGCACCCCTTCATGGGGTGTGGTCTGCAATCCCTTCCCATTTTTCCATCCTGTCAGGATTTGGGACAAGCATGCACATGTGCCAGACATATTTTTCAAGCTGCAGAGACAAGAGTCCAACCCCGTTGGCCATGTGGGGTCTGGCTCCCTTACCATTAGGCTACATGGCCCCAACATTCTGCTTTGGAACAAGGTCCCAAGCAAACTCCCATGCCTGTCAGAGCTGGAGAAGCACTGGCGCAGGAAGTCCCCAGGTAAAACCAGTCTGGCCTCAGCCTGTTTGCAGAGCCTGGATGGATGTAGCCTCTCTGGTTGTCACTAAGCACATTCCCACAGCAGAGTTACACCAAGCTGATGCCTGAGCTATAGGTGGCTGAAGGGTGGTATTCCCTGATTTGCTTTCTCTCCAGGGTAAGAAGTTAGGTGACGCTGAAGCGTAAGAAGCCACTGGCCCTGTCAGTCATATCAGACACAAGGTTAACATGGGCCGAGAGGGTTAATGGAGACAGAACGGCCTTGCCAGGCCGCTAAGAAGTTAGAATTAATGACAGAGGAAAGAGGCAGAAGGTTCTGAACTGAAAAGATAGCAAGAGAATTCTGAGGATGCGATGGCTAGTGCAAAGCTAAAGAGAGCATCTCTTGTCCAAGTATTGTGAAGAAACTGCTGTTGCTATGGGGGGTATAAAGACGAATACACCCCTCCCATGGCAGTGGTCTTCTTTTCTGATCCATGGCTGACAAAACTCAGAATTAGTCCCAGCATGCTCGGATGCAGACTAAGATGGGGAAGAGAGGAGAGTGATGGTGAAGAAATTAAGTGTAGGCCCGAGCGGTGGCTCAGCAGTACCCCAACACTCCATCATGCTGGACCCGCAGGGTTGATCCAGGCTGACTGAGATGGGTGGACTGTGGTGAAGAGCCTACTAGGGCTGCCTGTTTCTATCTCTGGAGAAATTAACTAATTAATTTTTTTTTTTTTGGAGAGGTTTTTGCTGTAGGGCACGTGCGCTTGCCAGAAAGACAGAGAGAGACAGAGAGACAGAAAGTGAGAAATCACCCCCACCCCCACCCCAGGGGGGATGGCTACGCTGCAATCCCTTCTCCTCCGTTCTCTTCTCAGGATCTTGGGCACGCACGCACACATGCCCGGCATGAGTTTTAAGCCACCGGGTCCAGGACGCGAACCGAGGTCGACTACATGGGAGTCCAGTGACATAGGCATTACGCTAACTATGGTCCCAACTAATTAATTTTTAGAAAGAAAAAGGGTCAGCCATGGCATAGTGGTTGGGGCAACTAGATCCCACACAGCCAACTTTGTTGGTCAAATCCTGGACCCAGCAGCTTATAAAACACTCTGGGTGCATGTGTCTGCATGCCCAAAATTCCAAGAAGAGTATGGAGGAGAAGAGATTGCAGTGTGGCCAGCCTCCCAGGGTGGGAAGGGGAGTGATTCATCACTTTCCGTCTCTATCTATATCTCCAACAGGCACATGCGTCCTGTAGCAAATTTAAGAAGAAAGAAAGAAAAAGAAGGGAAATGAAACACAACTTCATTGGAGTTATCTTCCAGAATGTGCTTTGTAAGTTCCCAGTTGTGACCCTAGGCCCCTAGGATGGTTCTTTTAACCAGAGCCTGTCTGGCCTTACATTTCTGGGGCCCAATCTCAGCTCTGACAGAGTCACATATGTCCTGCAGCCTTGATTCAGATCCACGTCAAAACTGGCCACCCCAAGGTCACCAAGGCCACTTTTTTTGTTGGCCCTTCTCTGTAAGTCTCTGTCCCTTGGCTCTGATACCACCACATCCTGTCGCTCTTACAGCCTAGCAGTCTGGCTATAAAAGTCTCCTGTGTGTGACCTCAGGCTCTCCCCAGGGCCTCCTGTACTTCCGGCATTAGACACTCTCACTGAGCCACAGTAAGCACCCTCTTACTATCCAGCATGGGGGGGCAGCCACCTTGGAGTAGATTGTCCAGCCCCACTCAGGCCTCTCCAGCTGAATCTCACTACAACTTCAGCTCTGTCCAAAGACAGAACTACCCAAACAAGTCACTTCCAAATTTCTGACCCTCAGGAACCCTGAGAGACAATAAACATTGTTTTAGTTATCTTAAGCCATCAGATGTTGAGATTTTTTTTCTCTCAACACATGGTCTTGCTTTGTCACAATCCTCCTGCCTCAGCCTCCTGAGTAGCTGGAACCACAGGTGTGTGCCACCATGCCTGACCCTTTCAGATGGTGTCTTGCTATGTTGCCCAGGCCAGCCTCGGGCTTACGATCCTCCTGCCTCAGCCTCCCTAGTCACTGGGGTTACTGGCACATACCACTATGCCTACGCTTTGGGTTGGACCAGGAATCAAACCCAGGCCTCCCATGTGGTCCCAGCTGTGAGGCATAGTATCTTAGCAGCATGTGTCAGTGTGGCTGGGGCCCAATGTAGTTTTTATTTTTTTCTTTTTTTGGAGAGGATTTTTGCTATAGGGTGTGTGTGTTTGCCAGAAAGACAGAGAGAGACAGAAAGCGAGAAATCACCCCCCAGGGGGGATGGCCATACCACACTCCCTTCTCCTCTATTCTCCTCCCAGGATCTTGGGAATGCATGCACACACTCCCAGCATGAATTTAAGTCACCAGTTCCGGGACTCGAACCGCAGTTGACTAGATGGAAGTCTAGCGACATAGCTAGCCATTACACTAACTGCTGGTCCCCCAATGTACCTTTAAAAAAAAATAAAATTGCTGCAGGGTGTGTTCACTGGCTGGAAAGAGAGAGAGAGGGAGAAAGGGAAAGTGGAAAATCACCTCCCAGGAGGGATGGGCATGCGACAATCCTTTCTCTTTCATTCTCTTCTTGGGAATTTGGGCACCATGCACATGAGTCAGCACATTTGTCAAGACACTGGATCCGGGACTTGAACTGCAGTTGGCCATGTGGGATCCAGCCTTACCTACCATGCCACCTGGCTGCCTCTGTATCATTTTTGTAATATACATAAATAGATAACTAATTTCATTTTTAAAAGTGTCCAGTATTTATTAACTCATGAGCATAATGACAAAGTTCATTCAAAAAAATGATACAAGAATCTGGTATGTGTAGTCAGTGAAGAAAAGATTAAAGTAAGATAGCAAACTTAGACATAAAAATGGTTAATGCCATGAAGGGCAATAAAACTGACCTTTGGGGTTATTGTCCCTAATAGGACAGAAGTCATTTGTAACTGAATAATCTGCAAGGATGCATCCTGCCCAGAGCCTGGGCCCCAGTCCATAGCAAACAGTGAGTCACATAGGTTGGCCTTGCCCAGAGTGTTAGGTGGTTGAGGCAGGCTTATTTCAGACCATGCTCTGGTGAGACTTTAAACATGTAAGTCATCTTCTGCCTCACTAAAGATTTGATAGACAATGCTGCTTGAGGTAAGACACCAATTAAACTGTGCCATTTTAAAGAATTACTCATTTTTTCAACAGTTAATAAGTCCCTATTTTGTGACTGATTCTGTTCTGTTAAGGATACATCAAGACCAAAAAAAAAGAAGCCCCCTGCCTGTGGACTTTGCATTCTGCTCTGAGTTTATGTTCAGAAGAATGGGTAAGGCTGGCCCCATAGCCTAACAGTCAAGGAAGCTGGGTCCTATGTGGTTGACCATGGTTTGAATCTCAGCCCCGGTGGCTTGAAAACACGTTGGGGGCATGTACGTGCATGCCCAAAGTTCTGACAAGATGGAAAAATGGACAAGGGTTTGGGGGCATGACCACATCCTGTTTGAGGTACTTTCTTCCTCTCTGTCTCTCTGGTCAGTGCGCATCCCCTGTGGCAATTAAAAACCAAAACAGAATAAAGAATAGACATTGTTAGATTAGGTACATCATCAGAAACTAACCCATGACCCCAGGTCAAAGGTCCCACCCACTGTCCTGCTGAGGCGTGCTCCCAGCCTGACGCTGGCCTGTGAGACGTACTTCTGAGAAGGTGAGTCCAATTCGTTGTTGTCCTCAGAAAAGGGTACATCGCTAAGAAAGATGCACACACCCTAACTCTTATTTAATTCTACAAAGGGAATGCAGAAAGTGACAAACTATTATAGTGACAACTCAGCATGTTTTATTTTTTCCTTTTAAAAGAATAGATTAGAGGGACCAGCAGTTAGCATAATGGCTATGTCGCTTGACTCCCATGTAGTCCACTGCAGTTCGAGTCCCGGACCCAGTGGCTTAAAAACTCACGCCAAGGGCATGTGTGCCCAAGATCCCGAGAGGAGGATGGAGGAGAAGGGATTGTGGCGTGGCCATCCCCCTTGGGGGATGATTTCTCGCTTTCTGTCTCTCTGTATCTCTCTGTCTTTCTGGCAAGCACATATGCCCTGTAGCAAAAACCTCTCCAAAAAAAAAAAAAAAGAATAGATTATATTTATCAAAAGAAAAATTAGAATGATGCTGGAGGTTACGGTACATGTGTACAGCTAGAAATCGCTAAAAATGGAAATAAGAACTGACAGGAAATCTCAGAGAAGTGTAACATCTTTAGTTAGCACTATGGTCTTAATAACTAATGTCCTCATTCCCAGACTGATAGTACTAAGGCGTAGGGCACATTAGAAGGTGGTATTGGAGGTGATTAGGTTATGGTGGGGCCTCATAAGAGATGAGATTAGTGCCCTTATCAAAGAAGTGGAAGAGAGACTTCCAGGTCCTTCTGCCATGAGTATTAGGGCCACAAAATGACTGATGAGAAAGCTACCTTTCGCTGGGTACTGAAACTTTTGACCCCTTGACCTTGGCTCTAAGACTGTGAGAACTAAGTTTCTGTTGTTTATAAGCCCCTGGATCTATGGTATTTTGTGATAGCAGCCCAGTGGACTAAGACAGTCAGTGAATTCCTTTTCATTTCATCTTAACACCACACCTGCCATCCGGTCGTTCACCAGCCTTGGCAGGTGGGCGGCCGTGGGTTTAACTCTCCAGGTCTGTTGAGGCCAACTACAGTTATACCTTTCCTGTCTCTGCTAAAGTAAGCAAGTAGAGACAGGTGGTCAATGTCAACAGGTCATAAGCAATCGTTCAATCAACAGCCCTTTTGTAAAGCCAATTTGTCAGAATCTCCCGACCTTAGAATGTGCCACACAGATGCCCTCTTGAGGCCCATGTGCCCACCCCTCAGCTGCTGAGGATTCACCACTGTGATGCTCATGGGTGTTGCCCTCAGCTCCAAGGAACCACCTGACCAAGGATTACACCCTCCCAAGGCAGTGACTGGCTGATGCTGAGATGCAGAGACATGTGCCCTTAGACCATGTACCCTTTGGCAAAACTTTAAAAAAAATGTTTTTAATTTCTTTAAAAAAAAAATGATGTGAGACAAATTGGTAAAATGTCAAGATTTTATAATGCCTGATGTTCATATTATCTCTACATGGTCAATATTATTCTCTGTTCTTGATCGTATGCCTGAAATACATCGGAATAAAAAGGGTCAGTGGAATCAAATGTGGGGCTACAAGAATATTGCTGTGCTTATTTAATGTCTTTTCCTATCTCTAGGCAGGATACAGGTGGATGGGGAGGAGGTGTTAACTGAGCACCCCTATTTGCCAAGCACTGTAGTAGCGCCTTTTCATATTTTAAAATATGAAGCAATTTATGTGTTAGGAAGGATCATTCTATTTATTTATTTTTGTTTATTTATTTATTTATTTTGGAGAGGTTTTTGCTATAGGGCGTGTGTGCTCGTCAGAAAGACAAGGAGAAACAGAGAGATAGAAAGCGAGAAATCACCCTCTCCCTGGGGAATGGCCACGCTGCAATCCCTTCTCCTCCATTCTCCTCTCGGGATCTTGGGCACGTACACATATACACCTGGCATGAGTTTAAGCCACCGGATCCGGGACTCAAACCGCAGTTGACTACATGGGAGTCAGCGACATAGCCATTATGCCAACTGCTGGTCCCAGGAAGGATCATTCTAAAGATTTCATATTGGTACCAGTTTCCATTAGATTTCATTCTAATCTCAAATTTGTGTTCTTCTTACTACATCATACTCCTGTTTCTTCAGTGAGGTGTTGAGATCAAGCCAAAGTCTTTCAGAATTCTCCTATAGAAGTAGGAATATCCCCGGGCTTACCTGAGCTCCCTAAGATGCACATGATCTGCCCGCTCTCGATGTACAAGGAGACATCTTTGAGGATCTGCCTGCTCCACTGCTGCCGGTAAGAAGTGATGTCCCACCAGGGCCCGGCACGATTGCTTTAAAGGGAAGTCCACAAAAGCAAGGGTGGCATGGAGTCCTGGAAGGGACCCGACCTTGTCCCCCAGCAGTGACCCCAGCTCTTGCCCACTCCACCCTGGTTGTCTCTGGACAGGGTCTTGACGGTTTCAGCTGCACTGTTACCCGTGAGCCACGGGGTGGTGGCTGCAAGCTACCCACAATCCATGGCAGGTGCCGCTCTGCCCCGTTTGCATGCAGGTATCTGGCTGGCTGGAAGATGGTGAACAGGACACTTTATCCATGATGTCGACCCTGCATTGCTTCAGCAGGCTTCCTTACCCCTCGTGTGCCCAGCACCCCCACTCCCGAGCCTCTCCATCCACTTAGGGTATCCCTAGACAAGGGGAGGAGGGCAGGCAAAGGGAAGGGATAAGAGGCAGGGGCAGGAGGCAGGGCCCTACTACTGTGTTTCTATGCCAGGCCCTGTCCTGGGCAGGGGGAGGGCTATTCCCTTTTTTGCTCCTCATTTCCCAGTGGATGCCCTCCCTCCACCCCCGCCCCCATACACCGGAGAGGGAAGTCAAAGCCCTCAGGCGTGCACACCCCTCCATTCGTGGTAGGAAAGGCAGCAAAGTGGTAAGCAACCAGGCCTCACACTCCCAGCAGGGAGGGAGAAGTGCCAGGAGCTGCCTTACCTGACGCTGTAGGAGACATGGAGGACGCCCAGGCTGTGCCCAGACTCCGAAGCAGCCGTGGGAATCTCCTCTGGGGAGCCCTGGGAGCCTCTGTTTACTTGGAGCCCCCAGGCCTTCTCAGGGGACAAAGGCGGAAGGTCACTCATGGCCAAAAGGCCACGAAGACAAGCGAGTTATCAGGTGGCCTGGTCCTCCCTGGAGTGGCTTCAGCTGAAGAGCAGTGGCAGACTGCCCTGCCTGGCCCTCCTGGTGGCCACCCAGCCCTGAGTTTCTTGTGGAAGCGCCGCAGGAGTGTGGTTTGGGCACGATGCCATTATCTGATGTACCTTTAGCCGAGCGATTCTGCCCTTATCTCGACAGAGGGCAGAATCCAAAG